TGCTCATGAAAATTGTGATTGTGATTCTCTTTATCCTTAAAAATGTAATAATCCACAAAGTATATATATTTTTTATATATATATTTATTTATATATTTATATCTATATTTATATATACACATAAAGTGTATACACACACATACAGATCCCTGCCAGCTGTTTACAGGAAGTTTTGAGTTATTAAAATAACTCTTTTAACATTCTGATTTAAAGTATTTGTTGAAAAGCTTTTCCCTAAAGAATTAAATATAACTGAACCACATTTTCTGTTTCATGTAAAGTCCACTGAGTTGTTTTAATCTACTACTGGTTTAATCTACTACTGTTTTAATCTACTTTCCTGGCTTCCATATACTTAATAAATTTTTTCCTTATTCAATCTTGCTCTCAGTTTCCAAAATGCAAGATAAGTTTTATGTTATTAGTTTCGTGTTTCAAATGCCATATTTTCCTTTCATAAATGAAATTGATTTTTCACAGTGCATTTCAGCATTCCTCATGCTGAAAAGACACAAACTGCACTTAAAAGGAGAGCTTTTTCAGATTAAATTGTCCCTCCCTCCTTCTGTGTTCTGTGGGCAGAAAAATAACCTGAGCTTTACGTGGCTGTTGAAAGCACCTTGTAATTTTTGCTTGGGTTTCATTATTTTTTTGAAAATCTGGCCAAAGTTTGAAACGTCAAATTGATTTGTGAACTAAATAAAAATATGTATGTGTATTGAATAACACATCTTGGGGGGGGGGGAACCCAAACACCAAACAACCAAACTGCAATTCAGGTTGTCCTTGCCTCATTAGCAATGTTGGATTTTATAGATTTTCAGTGAGTCTGAAGAAATAAAGCCCTTGCTGGCAGAGAAAGGTGTTTCAGCTGCTGGATAAAAAAAGAAAAAGCATCTTAAAGAAAGTCTCGATGCATAAAAAACTCCCAGGGACAGATTTTACCGAAGTCCCAAACCTCCCCAGTCTGACATTTAACTAAGTACTGACAGAAGGGATTCTCACTTCCCTGTCCAAAAAGGAAACTTTAAATGTATTTCCTTCAGAAAGGATCTTAAATAAATGCTACTTTTTTTTTAATAACTTTAAAATGAAATCCTTGCAGGTTTAGCACAGTCACCCCTGTTACAGTAACGGGGTTTGTGTTTCAAATGCCCACGTGCTGCAAGAGCTTCATTTTTGGAATCTCCCAGATCCCTTTTTCTAAGACTCTGAGCCCCACAACTCACTTGACTTCTCTCTGCAACGCTGCCAATCCTCCCCAGGGGGTTTGTGGACGGAGTTTTCCACAGCTCAGGAAATCCAAGGAGTGAATCACAGTCCGTGTCCTGCACAACCTGACTCGTGTGCTCGACCTTGCACACTCCAGGTGGGATAATTGGCTGCAATAATATGTTGTACGGCACTTCCACAAGGATTTTTATTAATAATTAGTGTTAAAATATAACATTTGTTATAAATCTAAAAATTCTTTGTAAGCTATTTTAATTATTTCATTGTTGAAACAAGTGAAACCATTTTTTTCCTGATCCAGGTTTGCTCCCAGCCTGGTCATGGGCAGGAGCCCATCCTGACTTGCCCTGTCCTCATCCCATCAGTCAGGGCAAATGTTTGGCCCAGAGCTGGGATTTTGTCCTTGTTTCAGATTAACACTTAAGAAACAAGCTTAAGGTTTTGCCAGTGCAGTCCAATAAGCAAAATCTGTTCAAATCAATGGTGGGCATTATTTTATCCAAGAATACACTACAGCATTCGTTGCAAACAGGAGCAAGATTTTCTTCAGACCTGCAGAATAAGCCTGTAAAGTTTGCCAACTGTGAAAATAAAAGAAAAAAAAAAAAGACAGAAATATATTAATTTTCAGACTCAGAATCTGCAAACCCAGTGGAAATTCATAGCTGTGCTTCTATTTAAACATGACATTAAAACTTTTCAGTCTAAAGCTTCGGGGAAAGAACTAGAGGGGAAATATTGCAGCAACATCTTTAATAAATTACTCAAATTCACTGAAAACTATATTTTGTGTAGACCAAATTCCCTGGCAGGCTTGGAAAAAAGGAAAGGGATGGCAATGTCAAAATATCACACTGCTAGGAAAAATGGTGCCTTTCAACATTTCTTTAATGCTCTGCATTGGCTTTTTATTCTGTGTGTACCTTAAACAAAAGTGCTGAAGACAACTCTTCAGCAGCAGAAAAGGAAGCCTGGAGGGATTCACTGAGCTAAAATTTCTCCTGCAATTTGCCTTACCACATATTGATTTATTTTTCCATTTTTTTCCCAGAGAAATATAAATCCTATATTTCTCATAATTCTAGGAAAGGATTTGTGGGACAAAGACATTGAAAAATTTTAGGTTTTTGTTTTGGTGTTCAACAGGAATTACAAGTTTCTCTTGAATGTCTACTGTGGTCCATTTTTCTCATGAGTTTAAACAGGCATTCTTGCAAAAAGGGTTTGCTGCACACCTGGGCACAAAGCCTTGATCCCAATAGTTACTGAGGGACAGGGTCTGCCTGCAGCTCCTTTTGGGAAGGAAAGACAACAGCTAAAAACACAAACCCAGTTTTGTGCACCAATAAAACTTCCAAGATTTATGATTTGGGGGGCTGTTATTCAGTAAAATGAAGATGTGCTGGTGACTGATGACCCTGAGATTAGTTCAGTTGGCTAAAACTTGGTGCTAAAAATGCCAAGGTTGTGGGTTCAATCCCATATAAGGGCCACTCACTTAAGAGCTGGACTGGATGATCACTGTGGGTCCCTTCCAACCCAGAATATTCTGTGATTCTGTGCTGGCAGGACAAGAACATTACACCTCACAAAAATTAGGTACCCAAAGGACACAGTTAAAAGTGTCTGCACTAACCCCCAGCTTTGCTCCTGGCCCATTTAAAATTAGATCTTGGGCACAGTGACAGCTGTGGGGTTTGCTGAGCCTCCAGGAGGTTAAACAGGAGCTTTCTTCTTCTTTTCAAGGAGACCTTTAGAGGTGACCAGTTTAATCCAGCAGAGAAATTCAAACAGCTCAGACCACACCTCGAGTCCCTCCTGTGCTTTGCCACGAGGAATCCTCTCAGTTCTAAATACTGACAGTTTATCTGCCCCAAACAGCAAAGCCAGAGTAACAAATCCTGGCCTTTGGTTTAGCCCCGGTGCAGTTTGGCATCTTTACCTCAATTCAATTGGTCCACATTGACACCACTGTGAAACCAAGGATCAACCACGATGACCTCAATGCACCCACACCACAGAGAAGGGCTGATCATCCTGAGCTGTCCAGGAGTCCTCTGCCATTCTAAGCTAATTCTGTGCTCGGGCCAAAGACTCAAACACACTCAGCAGATTTGAGCTGGTGGCTGAGCTCTGCAGCCAGCTCTGCTCCACCACTGCTTGTTGGATCAATGCTGGTCACAGGAATGTGCCCAACCACAAACAAGGGCAGTGCAGTTGCAGTTTGTTTGTCCTGGAAATTTTCTGTGCATTACACTGGTAGAAGGGTATGTGAGGATGCAAATACACCCTCTGAACAGACAGGAAGGTTTGCTGTTTTGTCCCTAGTCTTGATATTTTCTGCTGGAGCAAATGCATCCTTCCTCTGGCATGTCCCAGGCCAGGCACTGCAGAGAAGAGATTGTTCTGAACAGGCTGTGAGTTGCTCAGAAGCTGGTTTTCCTTCCCCTGGCAGTGAAGAAGACTGTCCATGTGGGCCACAGTCTGAATGTTTAGAGTGTAAGACAAACTCAAGTGAGATGCAGAAATCACCCCTAATTTTTAGCTGTTGAAGGACAAAAAAGGGTCAATGTAACACGATAAACTGTCCCACAGCTTGTGAGAAATGGCTTCTGAGCATGTTTAAAACAAACCTTTTGACTGAAAAAGCCACAGAGGGTGATTTCCTGAGGATGGGAGCCCAGATTTCTGGCTTGGGATGGGAACAGAGGTGACGTGCCTGCCGTGTGCAGCGGGACACACACTTGGACACAGGGCAGAGGGATCATTTTTAGACACCATGAACAGCTTCTTGGGGCTCAACCAGGCAGCCAAGGAGCAGAGAGATGGAGCTCTGGGTGTTGCCCTGGAGCAGCTGGTCAGACAGTTCAGCTACAGAGCAGCTGGATGGGTGACTTCCCTTGGGATTCCTGTGGAGCACAACACAGGAGGAATGATTATGGAGCAAAAACCCCCATCACAGCACTGCACTGAATAAAAAACTTACTAAATTACTTACATAACTTATTAAATAACTAATAAAAGTTATTGAAGTCTCAAGTAGATCAAACACTCAGATAAGAACAGAGAGAGCTCTTGCCCTGGAAATCTAAATATGTTAAGGCATCAACAGGAGAGATAAAGATCTGTTGTTGATACACCACAGATTTATTATTTTATTTAAATGCATCTTTCAGCAGTGCCTTTATGAAGGCACTTAAACATACTGAGCTGTCACAGGACAAGAATTAAGTCCAAGACTAGTTTTGTACCACCGGTTGCTTAAAGGCTAGGAAAGAATGGATGTTTTCCAGAAAGGAAAGAAGTCCAAAAGGACTCACAGGATGCTCATAGTTGCCAAATGGTATCCAGTTCTTTTTCAGAATCCTTAAGACAAAGTTTGTTGACACAGTTATTCAGACCAACCATGCAGAAAGCATCAGGAGGTCCTGCAACAAAGCCTGGACAATAAAATTTCAACCACGCAAAGACATGCAAGAAGGCAAAAGCCTGAGTCCTTGATGACTCCTTGATGAGCACTTTGCAGAGGAGTTGTCAGAGTGATTTTCCAAATCAATTCTTATCATTGAAAAAATGATAACACATTCTGGAAAACAGTTAACACACGGGGGGAGATATTGGAGAGGGAGGCAGAGGACAGACACCACTGCATTAACCAGTGATGCATCTGTGTTTGCAATTCTACCTGCAGTTGTGAATGGTAAAATAATCCAGAGAGAGGCAAAAAGGATAATCCCAACTGAGGAACCATTTCCCATCCAAATAAATCCATGTAACACAGGTTCTCAGAAGACATGACTGAAGAAGGTGCATGTGAAGTACCTATAAAACAACCAACAGTGCAGAGAGGAAACAACTGTTCAACGTTCATTGAATTCCAGAATTAAACTCCATTTCCAGGCAACTGATTTAGTAAAATATATAAAAAAGACTTCAATGTCTTACAAAAAGTGCCCTTTCTGTTATAAGTGCATCACATTTCAGTGCTGAGAACAGAAGGGGTTTTATAGCCAACTGTTTCCTTACTGTTCTTGCTGAACTCTCTGTTTCATATGATGCAACGTATCCAGTGTTTGTTTTGACACAAACCAGACCTCTGCTGGCATGGTATTTCCAACAGGGGTGGAACAGAGTCCTGCAGATCCCTGACACACAATAGTGGTCACATCTACAGCCAGATGTTCAGACACAAACCATCAGCTTGCTTCACTAAATCCCACTTTTATTTGAATTCAGCAAATTAGTAAATTTTTAAAGCAATACAACTTTTTATCCCCCAGCCATATACTGTTGAGCCAGTATTGTTCACAGTTGGATTCAATGGTCTTAGAGGTCTTTTCCAACATTAATGACTCTCTGGTTTTATTAAAAGCAAGCACAGGTTCTGTGGTTACTGGCAGAGACACAGGAGGCAGATTCCAGTTGAACTTCCTTGCCAGTTCATGGTGTAGCCCAACAGGAATGCTAAATGCCATTCCTGAGATTCATTCATGGATCCTTCCCTTTTCTCCAGCTCTTTTGAGGACCCCCAGCAGTCAGAGTCAGCAGGGCAGCTCTGGAGAGGCACAGACACCCCTGACCTGCAGTTGCCCAGCACTGACACAGGTTTTAAATCCCCAGGATGTGCTGGGGTGAACTGCCACCAGCACCAGGACTTTGATTCAAGGTTCAGTGTTATTTCCAACAGAACTTCTGCTTTTTTCCACTTATTAGTTCTTTTCTAGATGCACAAACCTTCACAGGCCAGTTGTCCCCTGTCACCTCTTCATTCCCCTCCATGACAGAGGGGACACTCCTTGGGCAGCGACATCAACCTGCAGGACATCATTTGGGATTTTTCCAGTTGACTTGGATCACCTTCCAGTTCACACTGCTTTGAATAAGTTGTTGATTTTCTCTCCTTTCTTGAAAGGAAGTAATTTTGTTAATTCTTATGATGCAAAGCAATTAAAGGGAAAAACACATTAATTTCAAAGCTCAAATCCTGCTGTTATTAGCACTTTCTTTCTAAATACTTAAGTTGAATAAACAGAGCATTTCGAGACGAATATTTTGAAATAGTCCTCGCCAGTTGTATCCCCCTACAGATAGTGATTACACCAGAAACTTGTACATCTGCATTTCTTTCAGAGGGTACGAGTTGTCTGCTGCTGTAGTGGGCTCAGAGCTGCAGGAATTGTAGCTCCCAACCATTCAGAACTCACTTCTCAGCAATCCAAACTCCAGGATGTGGGGTGCTGGCTGCAGGGGCAGGAGGAACATTGTCCATTTCTCCCTCCATCCTACCTGTTCCCAAAATGAAGTTTACCAAGATTAGAGGGTGAAGCCTTGTGTCCTTTACTGTGACCTGTCACAGTAGATTATCATTTACTTAAAGGAAGTTATTGAAGTCTTAAATATCCAAGTCTAGTCTTGCCCCATGAGTTGGCACATCCCAGCATCCATGGGCTGCATTAAATCCCATTCTTGCATCTCCTGAAACGTTAGGACTAAATACACCCGTTTTTCTTAGGAAATTATTTAAAAATCCATTATCTTCTTAATAATTTATTATTTTAAATGGGGTTTTTTTCACTATCTTGGTGGTATCTAAGGGCAGCTGCCCTGAAGCAGGAGTGCTGGATGGTGCTGGACTGGAGCTGCTGCCTCTGCTCCTGGGGCAGCCCAGGCTCTGCAGGGCAGGGGGGGCCCCTCTCTAGTTGGGGGGGAGTCATGTTTTAACCCCAACTGGCAGCTCAGCCCCAAGGGGGAGAGAATTGAAGGGCAAAAGTGAGAAAGCTGGAGGGCTGAGATAAAGACAGTTTAACAGGGAAATTCATTCCCCGCTTCCCATGGGAGGCAGGTTCAGCCACCCCAGGACAGCCAGGCTCCATCACAGTAATGGTGGCTTGGGAAGGCAAACACCATCCCTCCAAACATCCCCCCATTCCTTCTTTCCCAGCTTTACACACTGAGCATGATGCTGGACGGTCTGGAATATCCCTGGGGTCAGCTGGGATCACCTGTCCCAGCTGTGTCCCCTCCCAACTCCTCGTGCCCCCCCGGCCTCCTCGCTGAGCCATGTCATCTATTAAATGGTTTCTTGGAAGCAGATGAATCACACTAATTTTAAACAAAATATGTGATATTAAGCAATTTACTTTTAAAAAAATTTTCTGTTGCTTTAATTCTTTCATGGTTTGTTTTTTTCTGCTTTTCTCATTGGTCTGATCAGTCCTCGATACAATCATACCATTTTAATTCTGCAGTGATAACGCTTTCTTTACATTTGTGACCAGCAAACATGGCAATAAAATGTTACTTTTTAATGTTGTGATCATTAAGAATTGTTAAAAGTTTTTTCCAAGGCTTATATTTGTTTCAGGAACTCTACCTGCAACTCTTTCCAGTCTTGTCTTGCCCTTGTTTTAATTCTTCGTTCATTTTTAAAATAATAATTCTTATGCCAATCTTAAAACTTTCCAGTCTAATATCCATTACCAAATTAAATAGTTTATCATAGTCTAGATAGTATTACCAGTATTCCTGAGGTTGCTCAGGAGCTGCTCTGCTGCTTCAGGTAACTCCAACCTTGATATTAATGTATTTACTAAACATCAGGACTTAAATATGGGAAGCGTATCAGTTTAGACTCGGTGAGTGAGGCAAAGGAACACTTGTATAAAAGAAATGTGAAGTTATTCTACGACCAAAGGAAGGCCAGAACAGGCGTGATGAGGTGTCACAGAGGCCAAGGCACGTAAAATGGGATTTAAAGTACTGACTGTATCCCCTAAATTATCCCATTGTGTGCTTTGATTTTGCAGCTTGTAGTGGGGCGTATTTTCAGGTTCCCTCAGGAACCACAATCTCTCTCATCTTGCACTTTTAGTCTTTCAAAAGTGTTGGTTGTCCCTAAGGGAAGAGTAAATAGCCCAGGATTCAATAAAATCGTGACAGGCAGAAACACCCGTCTCACAGGCTGCAGGAGGGTCTTGGTTACAACATTTCCTTCGCAGTTTGCAGTTAACAAGGTTCCAAAATACTTGAAAAGTGGAATCAATGCATAAGTTTCAAAACTGATGCTTCAAAATGAAATCAGACTGAAAGTGGTTGAACTAAATAATGCTGGATCTGAGGCTCTTGACACCAACAACAACCGATTAGAAACAGGCAAAAGGGACAGAGAAAGCAGTGACTGAAACCAAAGCTCTGTGCTGCACCTCTTCACCATTCAAGGGGATCTATTTCCATTCAGATTTATTTTAAACAACCCTGTTATTTAAGTGAGGCAGATTGACAGCCTGTTCAGCATATTTGGGAAAGAAACTCTTCCTGGAGTTCCTTTGTTTCTTCACCAAGTAGCACCAGTTCTGTTCACCTCCTGCATTAAGCAAGCAGCTACTTACCCAGCAAACTTACTCCAGGACCCTTTTATTTCTTGAGTAGCAGGTTGCTCATGATATCATTTTCTAAGTTGATTTCTTTCTCTATCTGGAAACACAAAAATGCATCTAAAAGCAGCATTTTATGCTTCTACACAGAGCAAGAATGGAATTAGCACTGACCGAACGTTACAACCTGCAAGATCCAGTTGGTTCCACTCACTGTAGGGACAGAGAAGGTGCAAGGAGCTGCTCCATTCCCTTTGTGTTCCTCAAGAGGAGGAAATTGTGGTGCCCACCATTCCTGCTGGAAGCACCAGACAGCTCTTCTGGTGCAGGATTTGTGGTTTCACCACAGAAGAAGCTACATTTCCTTGGAGGTGAGTGGTTTGTCTTTAAACATCATGGAAATTCTCATGTTTCCAAAGCACTCTGATAGGCACAATTCCTATGCAGAATTAATTAACTTTTTTTGTCCAAAGACAATGAGAATGGAATAAAATTATTATTTTTTTAATAGAAGCTGGGCCCTCCCTGAGATCCTGATAAGCATTAAAATGGACTATTCTGTTGTGTCCCTGGCACGTGGAGTTCTGAGCAGCCCCCTGTGCAGTCAGTCAGGGAGGCTCTTACTGAAAATTCCTGAATACCTCTAAATTAATTAAGGTTTTCCCATTGCATTTCTGCTCTGCAGGCACTGGAGAGATTAGAGGGAAGCATTGATGTTCACTGCATTTCTCTAGATTTCTTGCTGCCCAAGGGAAAGAGTGAAAGAAATGAGAATCTTTCCCTGAGCTATTAAAAAAAAAATCAAAACAATGACAAAACAAAACACGAAGATTAAAAAGAAAAAAGAAATTGTTGAAATAAGAATAAATATCTAAAATTACAGCAATATTCCACATTTCCATCCTTATTCCAGATGATTTTTTTGATCCTGCTTGCTCTCAGCCGGAGCCCAGCAGTTGGTGCATCCCCTGGTCCCTGCTGGATTCTGAGCTGCAGATCTCCCAGGAACAGATGGATTCACTCAGTCTGGGACTGTGCCATGCAGAGATTTTATATCTTTTAATTTGCAATTGGCCAGCAGAGAGGCTGCACAGCTGCAAAGTGTAGCCCCTCTTTAGATACATTATTGGATATTTATTCCTGTGTCCAGGCTGCAGCATTGTCACACTGTCACCCAGCACAGCAACCAGGCAGCTTGAAAACAAAGTCTCACAATCCCACCACATTCCAAGATAAAATGAGTAAGAATTAATTGTTTTCTATTTCTCCTCAGCCCTTTCTATTAGATGTAACAAGATTGAAACCATCCCTTCCCTCAAAGCATCTGAGAGGGGACTGAATTAACTAATGTTAAACATTCAAACTGCTTTGTTTTCTAGAGGAAAATCGGAACATTCAGGCAACTTTGAGATTCGTAATAATTAGTTACATTTGTTTTTACTGAGTTTCTGTTCATGGGACTCATAGTTCTGACCTGTAACTGGAAAGTGGTTGGGAATCAGCAGATCTGGCCTGTTTCTGTCACATAAAGGCCACTTCACTCTCTGCCTCCTTCTCCCTGTTTGTAATAATGGTGACTTCTCTGTGTAAAGCATTTTGTAGTGTTGTGGCAACACATTAAATATGAAACAGATTATTATTAGAGCAGAAGTGCCAATGTCACAGTGCTCGGAGAAGAATGCAGCGTGGCACCAAAGCGGGGATTAAGAAACCAGAGCCGTGAAAACCAACTAAATAGGTTTAAAATGATGAATAAAATAATGACCAAAAATGAAATTAGAATCAAAGGCACTTGGAAATGGAGACTGGCCAGATTTTTGTTTTCTTTTAAAATGTGTAAACCGGGAAACTATAAATGGGGATAGATGGAGAGGGACAGAAGAGAAAATATTGGGACAAGACAAGGTGGGTCTTGGGGAAGGGTCTGGAGCACAAATCTGGTGAGGAGCAGCTGAGGGAGCTGGGGGGGCTCAGCCTGGAGAAAAGGAGGCTCAGGAGGGACCTTCTGCCCCTCTACAATTCCCTAATGGAAGGGTGGAGCTGGGGGGGGTTGGGCTCTGCTCCCAGGGAACAAGGACGGGAGAAAACATCCCCACGTTGTGCCAGGAGAGGTTTGGATTGGATATACGGGAAAATTTCTTCATGGAAAGTGTGGTCAAGCATTGGAAGAGGCTGCCCAGGGCAGTGGTGGAGTCACCATCCCTCGAGGGATGTAAAAGACATGTAGATGTGACACTGAGTTTTACGTGACACAGTTTAATGGTGGCCCTGGCAGCGTTAGGATTATGTTTGGACTCAGTCTTAAAGGTCTTTTCCAACTCCAGTGATTCTATGCTTTTAAAATAACACAGAAAAATTACATAAATGAAACAAAACACAGAAATAGGTAGAAGAATACAGATGGCCTTTCCAAAACTTGGGGGCAGACTGAAATAGTTAGCAGAGCCTTCAGAAAAAGTTTTGCCACAAATAAGCAAAAGTTTTATAAGGGGCCTTTTGATTTAATTACAATTTTTTCCAGGAAACAAACAATAGCAAAACTTATTTGGATTTAAGGAACCAGGCATTCAGATGCATAACAAACACACACATAGCTCTACCAAAACCCATGTGGGGTCAGAGTGATGATAATTTATCACCTTAAGGAATTGCTTCAAGATGAGCTCAAATACAGCAGTTTTTGGCATAGTTGCCTGTCTTCACTAGATACATGCAGTTTGGAATGTTTTTATGTTTCCTAATGATTCTCTCAGTAAAAAATTACTTGGAGTTGCTGCTGGTTACTATGGAGAGCTTTGATTAGCTGGAGTCTACCTGGATCACTCCTCAGCCACCATGAGAAGAGAATATGCAGATGGAATCCCAGCTAACACTGTTTCTTATTCAGTTCAAAAAAAAAAAAAAAGGAGAACAAATCTTTAAGAAGCAGAAAGCAGAATCAATACTTTCAGTCCAGAAATAATAATAATAAAAAAGACAGATATCCACCACTTCACTTGTGACTTCTGACTTTCTCCCTCACTCCCATCAATGCAAAATAAAGGATCTGGATGTTCATCAAAGCACTTTGTGTTTTGGATGGTGCCAAGGCTCCATGGGAAGGGCTGGTTTCTGGGACTCAGCTCTTCCAGTACCAAGGTCTGAAGTCAGTCCTCTGCCTTTCTTTCTGTCTCTTTTTGAGCAAGGCAACTTTAAAGTTTTAGTTTATGAGTACAAGCTTTGAAGAGTCTCTTGGTGGAGATTTGAAGTGGGAGGATTTGTGGGCAAGCTACTGCCACAGGTACAGGATTGAGTGGAGGAATATCATGAAAATCCATGTTCAGGTTTTCAATGGAGGGGAAAAGCAAGAGAGTGACTGAGAAGAGATGGTTAGACCAGGACTTTGTCCCTCTTCTCCTGGGAGGGTGAAAGTGTCTGGCCTCGATTGAGACTGGTTGTGATCCTGCCCTGGGAAACAAAGTGCAGATGTCACAGGCAGGTGATTCATTAAGGCAGGTGATTCATTAAGGCAGGTCAGTCCTTAATTACAAAAACCTCAGTGGCACTGGAAAAAGAGGAGAGCAAAGAAACCAAATGCAACCCGAAGAACAAAGAGGTCAACACTTTTCTCGGTGTCCCTTGTGCTCTGAAGCTGCATTGGAGCTGCAGAGACTGGCAAAGAAATGCCCCTGGAGGGAATTCCCATCTCAGCTCTCTTTCTTGGAGGGGAATCTCATAAGATGTGTGCAAGGATCCAGAGGGAGAAAGGACACTAATCCTGCTCCTGAAGCAGCAAATCTGTGGTTGTTTTCTTTCCTTTGGTTCAAGATGGGGTTTTTTTTCCTCCTCTTTTCCTAATTCACAACTTCCTTTTTCTGCCTGTTAACCAAACAAGCATGGGTTGGACAACAAGAATATTCTTCAAGGCCGGGTTGGAAAGGGCTTGGAGCACCCTGGTCTAGTGGAAAGTGTCCCTGCCCATGGCAAGGGGTGGAACTGGGTGATCTTTAGGGTCTTTTCCAACCCAAACCATTCTCTGAAATTCAATGCCTGACTTTTAGGCCAAAAGAACACAATTAATTAACAAGGGCTTGTCAGAAATCAATCTTATGACATTTAAGACCTGACAAACTGTATCACAAGAAATAGTTATTTGAATGTCAACTTCAAAGTCCAAGCCATTTTATTCCTTACGAGCTTTTATTAAAGATGTTAGTCCTGTGATTATTTTGAAATAATTCTGAGCTGCTCTTGGCACCTGTTGATGAGTTAAGAATGGAGTGTTGCACGAGTTCACACAAAGAAGTTGTTCTCTACACAGAGATAAGGATGTATTCTAGAAAAAAAGATGTTTTCCATGAAAGCCTCATTTTGGAGGGGGAGGGAAAAAAAACAAAAAAGCACCACCAACAAAAAACCAACCAAACATTTCAGGTCACTGTTCCAAAAAGAGCACAAAGCCAAGGCAAGAAGTCATCAAAAAAGCTCATCAGACCCTGTTAGTGCTCTGGGGAGAGTTCACTGCAATTCATGTATCTCTGTAAAATCCTTTGATTTTATCAAGAAAACATCTTCTGATTTTTGTATAACTGACACAATGTTTCCTTTTCCTCATTTTTCAGTGTATCCAAAAAGTCAAGTTCTTGGAAAGTCTGGGCTTTAAAATTCTGTGTTGCAAAAGAGCATAAAATAAATCTGTTTATTGCTTCCTGATACAATGATTGCATCCTCACTGGTTTTAAAAGAGAATTAGGAGAGAATAGCAGAATATAAAATTCCATCAGAAGACAAAGAGGTGTGGTGGCAAAGACAAGGAAAAGTATCTTAAGATTGGGAGTAAGAACAATTACAGATTATTTCTGCAAGCCCTGGGAGTCGTAAACACCAGATCAGCTGGCAGAAGAAATAGCAGAAGATTTATAAGAAATAAAAGACATTTTAATTTGGGGGTACTTTGAAATAATGGTCCTCAAATAATATCATCATATTGGTAAGGGAGTAGCCAAAAAGAGCTTTGTAAGTGCCTGCAATATTGTGTCAAAGTGACTTTTCTGGCAGGAGAGCAGCACCAGCCACAGATGTTGGCTATCCTATGGGTTTTCTTTTCAGAAAAGTCTCCAAATCCTTAGATTAAGTGTGCACTAAAGGGAATACCCTGTTCTCTTTCAATTTGGCAAATACATGATTATAAAATGTCCTGATCTGGATAATACTTTGTTTTGAATTTGCACAATGACAAAATTCCATCCAGGCTGCCTGTTTGGACGACAGTGAGTACAATCACCACCCCTCCCTTCTTCAGTTCCTGCCCCAGCAAGTCAATGAAGAAACATTTTTTCCCTTCCTTTGCTTTTCCCACAGTACTTGAAATAAAACATTTACAAACATTTGGGCCAAATCCACTGGAACATTTTAATAACAGGGACAGAGCATATTCCACATTTTCTATTTTCACAAGGAAAACCTAAACTTGGCGCATTTCTTCCCTCATCCCCATTTTTTCAGTAAATAAATAAAAATAATAAAAAATATTTTGAAAAAATTTAAAATCTTCCTAGCTAGAAGGGAAGTAACAGAAATAAGAGCTATACCATAATTGTGCAAATCTTTCACTTGCAATTGCTTTCCTCTATGAGCCTTTGACTTCTCACAGACTTTACCTTCCCAAACCCAGTGAGTGTCACCATCTGAAGTGATCAATTGATGGGGACAATCTGGCATGTCTGGTGATGGCAATCAGGACATTGCACTGAAGAGACTTTGCAGTCCTAAAATCATAGAATCACAGAATCAACCAGGTTGGAAAAGACCTCTGAGATCATCAAGTCCAACCCTTGATCCAACCCCACCGTGGTTCCCAGCCCATGGCACTGATGCCACATCCAGTCTCACCTGAAACACCTCCAGGGACAGTGAATCCAACCCCTCCCTGCCCAGCCCATTCCAATGGCTGAGCACTCTCTTGGGAAAAAATTTCTTCCTAATATCCAACTCAAACACCCCTGGCACAGCTGAAGACCCTGAGCCCTCTTGTCCTACTGCTGCTTCCCGGGAGCAGAGCCCGACCCCCACCTGGCTCCCCCCTCCTGTCAGGGAGTTGCAGAGAGTCAGGAGGTCTCCCCTGAGCCTCCTCCTCTCCAGGCTGAGCCCCCCCAGCTCCCTCAGCCTCTCCTCACAGCACTTGTGCTCCAGTCCCTTCCCCAGCCTCGCTGCTCTTCTCTGCCCCTGCTCCAGCCCCTCCATGTCCTTCCTGAGCTGAGGGCCCAGAGCTGGACACAGCACTCCAGGGGTGGCCTCACCAGCGCTGAGTCCAGGGGCAGAATCCCTGCCCTGCTCCTGCTGCCACACTGTTCCTGAGCCAGGCCAGGATCCATTGGCCCTCTTGGCCACCTGGGCACACTCTGGCTCCTGTTCAGCTTCCTGTCCATCCACACTCCCAGCTCCCTTCCTGCCTGGCTGCTCTCCAGCCACTCTGTCCCAGCCTGGGGGGCTGCCGGGGATTGTTGTGGCCAAAGGACCCAGCACTTGGCCTGGTTGAACCTCATCCCATTGGAATCAGCCCAACTCTCCAGCCTGTCCAGGTCCCTCTGCAGAGCCCTCCTGCCTTCCAGCAGATCAACACTCCCCCCCAGCTTGGTGTCATGTGGAAATTTGCTAATGGGGGACTCAATCCCCTCATCCAGATCATCAAATAAGATATTAAATATTACTGGGCCCAACACTGATCCCTGGGGACACCAGATCCTCTGGTGACCAGATCCCAACAGGATGCAGCACCATTCCCACCACTCCTGGGCCCGGCCATCAGCCAGTTCCTAACCCAGCACAGAGTGCCCCTGTCCAAGCCGTGGCTGCAGCTTTTTCAGGACTGTGCCATGGGAGACAATGTCCAAGGCTTTGCTGAAGTCCAGGCAGACACATCCACAGCCTTCCCCTCACCCACCAGGCGAGTCATCTGGTCATAAAAGCAGATCAGGTTGGTCAGACAGGACCTGCCCTTCCTAAACCCATGCTGGCTGGGCCTGATCCCTTGTCTTCCCTTGCTTGCTGAAGTACTGTGAGCACCACAGCCTTGTGGAGGGGTTCTGGGATTTCTAACAGCAGCATCGCTCCACCTGTGAGGTGTTTAGAAGAGTCAGCAAAGAGCATCACTTTAAAACTCAACATGCTGGGTCCTCAAGGGATTCCGTGTTCAGGCTAGAAACCCCATCCCAAGAATCTGGTGCACTCAGAAGCACTGATTCTCCCCTTTCCCATCATGTTCTGGATCTCCATTTTGAAGACAAGACGTCTTTGGGAGCTGTTCTCTCCAGTTTACCTGGGACTGGTTTAAAAAGAAATCTGTCCAATGATATGGGGGATTTACAGAGCTTGGATGTCTCCAGTAAGATTCCTGGAAAAGGTTTGTGTTGTGGCTTAGAAAGGTGATTTCTCTTGCAAATACCAAAAAATTATAAATTTTTTTACTCCTCACTTTTTATAGGTCCCAATGAAACATTCCCTACAGGAATTGGAATGATATTTTGTTCTCTGGTCTGCCTGTTTCTGCTGTCACAGCCTATTTACCTCATTCCAGAGCATTTTCAGTTCATGGAATGAAAATCGTACTTTTCTTTCTCAAATGGGTTGTTTCCAAAGTGTAATCCACTCAGAGTTTAGCATGTGTATTGCTACTGCTGTTTTCATTTTCTAGGTCTCAGCTATAGCTGAACTTCATTGTCCTTCTACATGATTGAAAGATGCTGGAAGCCTTGAAACTAATCTTTGACTGGCATCAGAAACAGTCACATTCAACTTTACACAAAACTTTCCAAGCAAACAAAGAAGCCTTTTAAAGGGTAATAAGCTCCCCTAGTTTTCTGTTCCTTGATAACAGAGTTGAAGAAGTGCCTGGATGATGCTCTCAGGCACCTCGTGTGACTCTGGGGATGGGCCCGTGCAGAGCTAAGGGTTGGACTTCATGATCCTTGTGGGTCCCTTCCAACTCAGCATATCCTGCAATTCTGTGCCCTTCCAGCATTACACCTGGGAATTGCACCCCATGGTAAATCCAGGTCACATCCATCCACTTCACTCACTTGCAGAGCAACCCAAAGCTTCATCCCTGCCCTGCCTGCCCTTTATATTACTCTGAGTCAAAAGAGAGGCTTTACCTTTATTATGACTGTTGTTAAGATGCTCCTTTACTTCCCAATTGCTGTGATCACAGAGCCTTCAGGAACAAGAGCCGTTTCAGAAGTATCTGAAATGATGTTCAAAAAACTTATGATTTCATCATGATTTTGAGCTGTTTTTCCCTTACAGCACCAGCCATTGCAGGTGGATAATTACAGTAAAATCATCACTGCAGATGCATGTTCTTATTTCCATGACTCTTCCTGTCCATGGCAGTAACCAGGGCTTTTACCTCTCCCTCACCCTCAGCTGTCTGGCTTTGATCTTGAAGCTGGGGGTGTGGAATGCCATAAGCCAGGTATCCAGGAAGGTTTCCTTGTCTCTTTATATTAGCTCAGATAAGACAGAAAGAACACAGAAAAGGAACCACCAGGTCAGAAATGCAGCTGAAGCACAGAAGTTGGGGGCTGATTTCTGTACAGCTGAATGCCATCTCTGCTCCTGCCAGAACAACTCCTCCTGAACGATGGAGACAATATCCAGCTTCCTCCTCCCTGCACTCAGGACTGGTATATTTGAAAATGGGTTCATTTAGAACTAAACTGTATCCACAGCTCTCATCACATGAGATTTTACAGCAAGAAGCACACTGAATAATTCTATCCATTCTGCATTCAGACCTAAAGTTTCCCCTTTACTTCTTTACTTAGATGATTCAGTTTTTATCACAGGCTGTTTTTTTTACCTAATTACACGTTCACACAATGTAGAAATGTGTTTCTGTGAGATTTAAGATGCTGACAAGGGACAGATGCCATGAACCCAACACTCATAATACATCCCCCAGAAAAAGTGAGGGAGCCTAACCCTGCAAACACTCACCAACACGTGCATTTATGAGCCAATGCTCATTAACATCCCTCCAGTAATTAAATAGGCTTCAAAAATTAAGACACAACTTCACTAGAATCAAACAGAATAACCTAGGGAACACACCTCTACAGTTAACAGCTTTTTTTTGTTTCAGAGTGGGATGATATTTCACTATGAGTGGAACCCAGACTATCGAGGGGGAACAAAAAACCAAAACAAAAAAACCAGTCTTTGGAAAGGAGCCACAAGAATCACTTCTAGACATGCAACAGGCCCTTCGTCACCTGAAGTTTTTAACACATCTGGGCACTCAAATGATGGAGGAGCAAACTGCTGTTACATGGCAACACAAAGACAACAAATAGACTGAGCTGTGGGTTGCAATGAACAGGGGGTTTTGTTTCCAGGTCTTCAAGTGTGTGGTGTTTTCCTTAAATTACCCTTGTTGGATTTACATGAAGAAGTGCAATTTAGATAATTCAGATCTTCTCTTTTCTTTCTCTAAAAAAAACCCAACAATAAAACAACACAAACCAACCAGCCAAACGAAGCTTCTCCACTCTCAGTGGGGCAGAAAAGCCTGAAATCAAGACATAAATTATACTAAAGGCTCAAAATCTAGAAGAAAATAATTCAGTATCTTTCAATCTCCCCAATTTCTGCAAAAAAATATCACTGCAAAGAGTCAACAAAATGTTGATTCCTCTGTGTTTCCTGTAAAATATCCCCTTAAGAAGGAGCTGTGCAACTTGTGAGCCTCAAATGCTGTTTAATGTAGGTGAATCACTCAGCTGAAGTTACAACAAGAAAACATAGAAAGTTGATTGAGCTCCATGGAAAATAAGGAAATATGTGATAAAGAGTCTTTCAAAGACTGAATTACTGTGAGTCAGTGAAAGAGAAAAGGTCAGGGCATTAAACTGCTATGATTGCTTCTATAGATATATAGAAATCAAATATCAAGACACATTTGTAGTAATAGGTAATAATTCATCCTAGAGAGGCATCCAACCCCTAGAGGGTTTTTAGTGACTCCTGCCATGGCACACCTTGCTTTGGCTTGTACTCAGCAGTCTTGAAGAGAAATTAATTTGATGTTATTCAGGGGAGAATTACAATAAGATAGACCAATGCAGTATTATTACAAACCCCTGAGTATGGACCAAGGAATGGGTGTCACCCACACCCAGCTGAAGGATTGCCCACAGCTGCACTGCTGGACTCCTGGCAAGCCCTTGCTGCCAGTTCTGAATGCCAAGCTTTCCAAACCACATGTGGTGGCTTTAACAGGAGGCACAAGAGCCGTGGTGCTCCCAGGCACCTCCACTTTCCCTGGAAGTACATCCCACAATTAGTCCTATCCAGCTTTTTTCACAGCCCATCCCCAGTAGCTTTTCTTAGCACCAGTTAATTTTGTCTTTAGGAGTTTGTGACAAAGAACCTCCCCCTGGCCTTATTTTCAGGCAGCATTGTAGTTTTGCCTGTGAACAGGACCCACTTTTGTCTCTGCAGACCAGGCTGTCTCTGAAGGCAGAAACACCAATCCCAACCCATTAAAAGTATCTCTGCCAACCAGTTATTAATGCTGTTCCTTGGAAGGAAGAAAGGGTTCTTCCCTTGTTCTCTCTGTACTGAAGGAGGTACCACCAGTTTGGCTGCCTGAAATCAGAGTCTTCAGGGCAATATGGTAACCTGGGCAGGAGCCAATGGTGGCATTTAATATTTTAGGTATAATGTCAAAAACTAAGCCCAGAATCTTCCCCACTGTTCTCACTG